TGCCCTGGGTCCTGGAGGTAGGTGTTTCGGCAGTGGCCTCCCTGGGGTGTGGGGCCTCCCAGCCTGGAGGGTGAAGGGTGCCTGTCACCCTGAGGCAGGGATGAGTTCTAGAGTCTCTTCACCCTGCCCCTGCGTGGGAGCCAGGGACCTGCTCCTCCCCCACCTCCCGTGGTCCAGGGAACCCAGAGGCAGGGAGGACCCGGCCGGCCCCCATGCTCACGGCCCCAGGAATGGGCCGCACCCAGGACGGGACTGTGCAGGGATCTCCCGGTTCCCTGAGGTTCTCCGGCTCCTGTGACTCCTGGGGGAGCCCGGCAGGGCGTTGTTGCTGTGTTGCAGGTGGGGAAACTGAGGCTCCAGGAGGCTGCAGGGCTCGTCCAAGGACACAGGTGGAGCTGGAACTGCTGCCCCCCGCCCCCCGGCGCTCAGGTCGTCTGCCCCTCAGAGGACCAGCCTCCAGGACACCCCAAAGCAAGGACAGGGGTGCCCGCCACTTGTGAAGTCGCTACCGCAGGTGTGCGTTGGGTTCACTGTGACGGCACTGTGGTTGGACGCAAGTCGCAGACCGCGCTGTGGTTTTTCAGAGAGGACGGGAACCTGGAACCCCCATTCCCAATGGTAGACGCCAGCGACTGGAGCGCAGGGTGCCCCCCACCTGAGACCCTGCCAGCCCTCTGATGGCCCAGGGAAAGGAGGGTGACTGGACTCGGCCTGCCTGGTTCTGACCCTCCAGCGGTGATGGGGCACCCCTCACCCCTCTGGGTACCGAGTCAGCATCCACTCTGGAGAGTGAGGTTGGGGTGCTCACCCCAAAGGGCTCTTTCCCTCCTTCTCCACAAGGAGAGGAGAGCGTGAAGGCAAGAGCCGTGGGGGAACCACCCAGGCCCGCGACCCACCCAGGCCCCTCGCGGGGAGGCCGGTCCACTCTGCAGGGACGCTCGGGTGCCCTGAGGTCAGAAAGGGGCCCCGTGACCCCTCCCGGGCCCTGAAGCAGAGCCTGAGGGCCGCCCAGGCGTGAGGGTCCTGCCCCGCTGGTGGGGACCCCAGGCTGCTTCCTCTGACCGCCTCTGCGCTCCTCGAGACGGACAGGCCCCGAACCGGCCCTCAGCCCGCTCACTGGCCCCGCGTGGGAAAGGGCTGAGGGGCTCGGCTGTCTGGGTGGGCGTCCGCTCCCCCGGGGGCCCGGACGGCGGAGGAGTCGGCGTTGGCGAGGGCAGACCCGACTCCCGAGTGGAAGGGGTTTCCCGGAAGCGGGCACGTCCTGCGGGGCTGGGCCTCTGCGGGCACCCGGCTGGGCACACGTGGGCTGGGCACCCACTGCTCTCAGAACTGGCCCCCGAGGCCGAGTCGCTCCCCCAGGCTCCGCCTGCCTGCACTCCGGCTGTGGCCCCAGTTCGGAGGAGGGCGGTGAAGCCCAGGTGAGGCTCGGAGGTCGGCAGGGATTCTCCGTGGCTTCCCCCCGACACTGCCCCCTCCCTCTGCGCCCCCCAGGCCAGCGGGCCCAGCGGGGACACCGGTGAGGTCGCACACTCCAGGGCTGGCCCTGAGCGGGGGCTGAGGGTGGATTTAGGGGCCCGGCGGGGACACCGGTGAGGTCGCACACTCCAGGGCTGGCCCTGAGCGGGGGCTGAGGGTGGATTTAGGGGCGCGCGGGGACACCGGTGAGGTCGCACACTCCAGGGCTGGCCCTGAGCGGGGGCTGAGGGTGGATTTAGGGGCGCGCGGGGACACCGGTGAGGTCGCACACTCCAGGGCTGGCCCGGAGCGGGGGCTGAGGGTGGATTTAGGGGCGCGCGGGGACACCGGTGAGGTCGCACACTCCAGGGCTGGCCCTGAGCGGGGGCTGAGGGTGGATTTAGGGGCGCGCGGGGACACCGGTGAGGTCGCACACTCCAGGGCTGGCCCGGAGCGGGGGCTGAGGGTGGATTTAGGGGCGCGCGGGGACACCGGTGAGGTCGCACACTCCAGGGCTGGCCCTGAGCGGGGGCTGAGGGTGGATTTAGGGGCGCGCGGGGACACCGGTGAGGTCGCACACTCCAGGGCTGGCCCTGAGCGGGGGCTGAGGGTGGATTCAAGGCCCGGTCACAGCCATCCTGAGATGCCCTCCTCTCCCTCCCGAGTCCCCGTCACCATGAATCCATTTCACGAAATCGCTGTCTGCTCTCCCAGGCTGACGTCCAGGGGGAGAGACGCCCTGTCCAGGCTCCGGGGGGTCCAGGTGGGCAGGAGCCGAGCCCTGCAGGAGGAGGGGGGCTGGAGGCAGCCAAGGCTGGGCAGTCGAGAAGAGGGCGCCGGGCTGGCAGCCAGACAGCAGGTTGACCTTGGAGAAGCCCTTGGCCCTCCGGAGCCTGGAGGGGAAGCTCCTGGGGGCACAGGCCCCGCCCGGCACGGAAGGCCCGGCCCCCGAGTTCTCAGGTCACGTTCTCAGAGCGGACAAAGGTGTCCCCGGCCCCTTTCACACCACCGTCCTGACGGCAGCGGACCGCCGGCGCCTCCCCGGGGTTGGCTGACCAGGTCCCACAACCGCTCCCTCCCCAGGCCGGCGGCCCAGCAGGAGGTGCCTGTGTGGGTGGAGCTGTGACCCCCAGAACCTCGGAAGTGACCTTCCTGGGAACAGCCTCGTGGCAGATGTAAAGGTGGGGTCACTGGAGCAGGCTGGGCCCTGATCCAATGTGACCAGGGTCCTTCTCCGAGGAGAGAGCCACACGCTGTCCCACGAGGGACCACCACGGGGTGACCAGGCGGGAATCCGGCCGGGGGTGTAGGAGCCAAGGCCAGGGGTCTCAGCAAACAGCAGACACGGGGAGGGGGCCTGAGGAGCCTGTCCTCCGAGGGGCTCAACCCTGCCTGCACCTGGTCTCAGAAGCTGGGGGCCGGGACATCTGTGGGGACCCTCTGCAGCTAGTCCAGGCCTCCTCTCCGACCCAGCGCCCATGAATCGGGTCCACCTGTCCCACACGGCCCTGTTCTAAATGGAGCCGCAGACTATCAGAGCGAGGCCGCCAGCCCATCTCCGGATGGAGGCGCCCCGCCGGAACTCCGGCTCAGCTCCCCACCCGCCCCTTCTTAATGGCCGGCTGTCCCCAGAGCAGAGAAACTGGGACAAGAGAGATTGAGGAGCAGCTGACGACGGGTACCGGGCTCGGGGGGAACAGAAGCTATTTCTGCTTCTCAGGGCTCATCTGAGGGGCCCGGGCCCCCCCTGGCTGCCATCTGGGGGCGGCCGAGTCTCTAGGAGTCACCACTATGGGTGTGGGCAGGTCTGGGAGAAGGTGGGGTCAGCTGGACAACTGACCACCCAGGAGCAGGTCCTCCAGACTCAGGGGGAGGCCGGGCCGGAGGTGGGTCTGAGCAGGCGGGGCCCAGACAGGTCTGGGGCTGCCTCTGGTCTCGGGCTGGTGTGGGGGGCTCACCTGACCCTGTTCATTCCGTGGATCTGGACGAAGCCTGGACGAGCACTGTTCTAACTGAACCCACTGCGTGGCCAGAGGCTCCCCACCTGACGGGGCTCCCGGCCCTGTAGTGGGACGGTGTCGCCAGTTCCTGGTGGCAGCCCTGGCGACATGTGCCTGCTGGGCACCTTCCACCTCTGCTCCGAGATCCTCGCAAGGGTCCTGAGCGGCACACCTGGGGACAGGAGCGCTCACCCAGGTCAGCCAGCCCTGAGCCGCACGCCCGAACACTGAGCATCTGTCCCCTCCTGACCTGTCCCCTCCTGACCAGGCCTGTCCCCTCCTGACCTGTCCCCTCCTGACCAGACCTGTTCCCTCCTGAACTGTCCCCTCCTGACCAGACCTGTTCCCTCCTGACCTGTCTCCTCCTGACCAGACCTGTCCCCTCCTGACCTGTCCCCTCCTGACCAGACCTGTCCCCTCCTGACCTGTCCCCTCCTGACCAGACCTGTCCCCTCCTGACCTGTCCCCTTCTGACCAGGCCTGTCTCCTCCTGACAGTCCCCTCCTGACTTGTCCCCTCCTGACCTGTCCCCTCCTGACCAGGCCTGTCCCCTCCTGACCTGTACCCTCCTCACCAGACCTGTCCCCTCCCCTCCTGACCTGTCCCCTCCTGACCTGTCCCCTCCCCTCCTGACCTGTCCCCTCCCCTCCTGACCTGTCCCCTCCTGACCTGTCCCCTCCTGACCTGTGGGGATGTGGGGTGAGGACAGGGGTCAGAGAGAGGGTCTCACCTGGTGTTGGGCCTGGACGGGGGGAAGGAGGTGCTCATCCCGCTCTGGGTGGTGAGCACAGACGGGGCTGTGCCGAGGGGCTCATCCTGCCTGGAGACCCCCGTGGATGGGCAGGGCTGCTTGAGGAGGGAGACTTAGGCTGTGTCCCGGGGGACCCATGCCTGCCGTGAGGTCTGCCGTCCCCCGAGATTCTTAATAATTGTACCTCAAACGTGTGCTTGGTAAGTGGGGCTGGCCGAAGGGCCACGGAAACACACCACTGCCCCTACGCTTCATTCGCAGACGGCGCCTTGAGGCCGTGCACCCCAGAGCACCCCAGGACGCCCCAGGACGCGTGGGGGTTCGGTGAGACAGACTCCGCCACAGAACCTGGGGGATGACATCTGCCTGAGCAGGAGGGAGGCTGCCGACTGCCCGGCCACGGACACGCGTCCTTCAAGCCAGACGTACCTCAGACACGGCAAAGGCAGGGGCCTCGTGCCCGCCCCTGAGTGTGCGGTCACCCCAGCACTGCAGAATGTCCAGCGTGAGGGTCTCCACGGGGGCGCAGGGCCTGAACGCTCTCAGGAGACGCGGTGGCTCTGCCGGGAGGAGCCGCCTTCCACCCGTGAACGCAGGCGGGTGTGCGGCTGAGCGGGGCACATGGTCGCGCCAGACCCAGCTTTTATCTACCTGGATGATACCAGGGAGCAGGTCGCATGGCGGGCGGGCGACAGAGAAAGGGCAGTGTTCACCTCCGTCCCTCGCTGCTGCTCCCTGCGGCTGGGTGGGCCCTGGGTCCTCGGCACCGGGCGGCTGGGCCCCCACAGCCACCTGCCCACCTGCCCACCTGCCCACCTGCCCAGAGGGCGTGGGCTGAGCCAGGGAGTGTGAGGCACCCACTGCGCAGGGGAGGAGGGCGAGGCCAGGAGGGGCGGGGTCTCCCGGGGACCCGTCTTGGTGAGTTGAGGAGACAAGCTGGGTGGTGTCTGTGGAGGGTCCTGGCTCCCTGCCCTCACCTGGTCCATCCGGCAGGGCCGGTTATTCTGAGGACAGGATCCCAGCCGGACACCTGTCCTGTGAGTCCCCATCCCTGGGCTCACCCGCCTAGGGGAGCTGGCTGGAGACAGGGGACCCGTGGGTGCGTCCCGGACACATGAAGGGTGAGGACGCGGCCATGCACGTGAGGCGAGCTCATCAGGGGACCCCTTGCATGACCTTTGAAGACTGTTCTCGAGCCCTGGCTGGTGTGGCTCAGCGGTTAGAGCGTCGGCCTGCGGTCCTGAGAGACCCGGGTTCAGTTCCCGCTAAGGGCACGTACCTCGGTTGCAGTTTGTCCCCGGCCCTGGTTGGTCGTGCGGGTGGCAGCCACTCGATGTGTCCCTTTCACGTCGATGTTTCTCTCTCTCTCTCTTCCTCCCACTCTATCTGTACAAAAAATGGAAAAATATCCTCGGGTGAGGATAAAAAAAAGACTATTCTTGATGCCACCCTGTCCCCCACAGACGGGACTGAGGTTGTGAACTTTCTTGACTGAAGACATTGCCTCTGTGTTAAGGAAAAGGGGGAGACACATGAGGTTTTCCCGGGAGTGGACACGCTGTTGGTCCTTGCTGGGGAGTCTCCACGTTCCAGCACACGAAGCTTCCACAGTCTGGTACACGGAGCCCCCATTTCCGGCTCACGGAGCCCCCACGGTCCGGCTCACAGAGCCCACATTTCCGGCTCATGGAGCCCCCATGTTCCAGCTCACGAAGCCCCCACGTTCCAGCTCACAGAGCCCCCACGTTCCGGCTCACGGAGCCCCCACGTTCCAGCTCACGGAGCCCCCACGTTCCGGCTCACGGAGCCCCCACGTTCCGGCTCACGGAGCCCCCACGTTCCTGCTCACGGAGCCCCCACGTTCCGGCTCACGGAGCCCCCACGTTCCGGCTCACGGAGCCCCCACGTTCCGGCTCACGGAGCCCCCACGTTCCGGCTCACGGAGGCCCCACGTTCCGGCTCACGGAGCCCCCACGTTCCGGCTCACGGAGCCCCCACGTTCCGGCTCACGGAGCCCCCACGTTCCGGCTCACGAAGCCCCCACGTTCCGGCTCACAGAGCTCCCACGTTCCAGCTCACGGAGCCCCCACGTTCCGGCTCACGAAGCCCCCACGTTCCGGCTCACAGAGGCCCCACATTCTGGCTCACGGAGCCCCCATGTTCCGGCTCACGAAGCCCCCATTTCCGGCTCCCAGAGCCCCCATTGCTGGCCCATGGGTGGAGAACGGGCAGAGGCGAGGAGCATGTGGGTACCTCTGGTGGGCACTTTGGTGCACTGAGCGTCCGCCCAGGACGCCCCCTGCCGTCCCCTCGCCAGGAAACCAATGACACTAAGCACAGCTGACCACCCACTGCCTGGAGGTGCCCACTCCGGGGCAGGAGGCCAGGCTCCCTGGTGGACGGGCCCATCCACCGCCATCGGGCCGGCGGACACGCAGCGGCGCCTGCCCCTCCGGTCTGAGGGGTGCTCCCCTAAAGAAACACTAAGTCTCCGACATTAAAACGACTTTGCAAAGGACACGGAGACAAAGTTCAATCGACTTCTCAACCTTCCAGGACTCCCGTGGGTGCGGCTGTCAGACAACTCGTCGCTGCGTGGTTGCGGCCCGCGGAGACGGCGCCCCACAGAGCTCAGCGTGGAAACGGTCGGCCCCTCGGCAGCCCAACGTTATGCCGGGGACCTCGGGACAGGTTTGCAAGCCAGGGCCTGCGACTTGGACGCTAGGCACCCAGGCCCCGCTGTCCCTTGTGCCTCCGGGACGTGGCCAGCTTGGCCCTGAGGACACTCAGCGCCCCCTCCAGGACACACAGTACCCCCTCCAGGACACTCAGCGCCCCCTCCAGGACACACAGTACCCCCTCCAGGACACTCAGCGCCCCCTCCAGGACACACAGCACGCCCTCCAGGACACTCAGCGCCCCCTCCAGGACACGCAGTACCCCCTCCAGGACACTCAGCGCCCCCTCCAGGACACAGTACCCCCTCCAGGACACACAGTACCCCCTCCAGGACACTCAGCGCCCCCTCCAGGACACAGTACCCCCTCCAGGACACGCAGTACCCCCTCCAGGACACACAGTACCCCCTCCAGGACACACAGTGCCCCCTCCAGGACACTCAGCGCCCCCTCCAGGACACGCAGCGCCCCCTCCAGGACACGCAGCGCCCCTCCAGGACACACAGCGCCCCCTCCAGGACACGCAGCGCCCCCTCCAGGACACACAGCGCCCCCTCCAGGACACGCAGCGCCCCCTCCAGGACACGCAGCGCCCCTGAGAGCTCACAGCCCCTGAGGACACTCAGCGGGGAGCAGGGGAGGAGCAGCCCCTCTCGCCCCAGCGCCGGGACCGTCCTTCACGAGCGCCCCAGCCCTGCGCCACCGCAGCCAGCAGTGGGCCATCGCACGCCTGCAGTTAGACCGCAGCCTGTCCAGCGGCGCCGGAAGGCGTGGGAGCCACACCAAGGGGCTGTTTCAGGAAACGGCTCATCGGAAAGTATTTTCTGCTCCGTTGAAAGCTGTGCTGCAGGGACAGCCGTGGACTTGAGATACAGACGCCGGGGGCGGGGGAGGGGCTGGCACGTGTGAGACCCCCCTTCCCCAGCACACTGCCCAGGGCCATCGGCGACCTGTCTGCCCCCGGCTCCCGGAGCACGTTCTTGGGTGCTCTGCCCACCCGTGGCTCTGCCTGTGCCAGCCGCCCGCACCGTCTCTGGAGGAGGGGCTCTCCCTGCAGCGGGGGAGGGTGCCCCCAGCACGGCCCCTGGAGCCCGGAGCGTGACCAGCTCAGACGCAGGGTTTCCAGTGACTGATGGAACTGGGGACACGGAGACGAACCCTCCAGCAGCGGACTGAATGGAGTAACCAGTCGACACCCCCAAAATAATCACAGGAGCAGAGTCCCTGCTCCCCAGGGAGCTTGGTTTGCACTGCCGTGCGAGGGGGACCCAGGAAAACACATGGGCCAGCCCGTCGCCCCGTCCTTAGTTAGAGGCGTGTGGGGGTAGGTGAGCGTGGTGTGGGGGTTGGGGCAGGGGCTCCGTCACCAGCCTGGGACTCACGCCAGGGAGACCAGGACTGACATGACAATCTGTCCATCTGTGCCAGGTGACAGCACCTTTTGTGGGATGTTTGGGGACCTCAGGCACTCACAGGGCTGACCAGTCCGTGAGCATGTCCCTGGGGGACGTTGGGGCTTCTCTCCCGGTGGCACTGCAGAGGGGCCGAGCCTCAGAGGGGGACCCACAGGTGAGGCCTCTGGTCGACCGGGAGCCGCCCCAGTCAGTGCCAGGTGACTCGGGCCCTCCCTGCGTTCACACTGCTTGGCTCGCTCGCTCCCACCGGGTGTCACAGCTGTTTGCATGACACCTACTTTGAGGTGACAGTTTGACCTTGTTTGTTATGTACCTTCCCACGGCTTTGTCTATGGCGTGGAAACACCACCAAGAATGAGGGGGCCAGAGGGTGCTTGGGGCTGGGCCTGGTGGCGTCAGAGTACCCCTGGACCTGCAGGCACATCTGAGACGTGGATTTTCACCACGTGGCGTAAAAGCGTCACTGCCCAGAGATTAGCGAGTCTGCAACGTTTGACTCCCAGGAGAAGGAGCCCTCCTGCCGTGTGGAGATCCCCGTGGCAGGACTCGAGGCCGGGCGCCCAGGGGGCTGCTGGCACCTACTGACCTGGGCAAGTCGCTGAGGGTCTCAAAAAGATCAGGGTCTCTGCTGGTTTCTGGTTGTTGTGGCGAAAACCCAGTGCACAGGCCTCCACGTCGCCTCAAAACGATCCCAGCGGCAGGGAAGGGGGTGGTGGCCACGTCTCCGTCCAGCTCTTCCAGGGAAGCCTGGCCTGCAGGGTCTCATGGACGCTCCCTGGACGGCGGGTGCCGCCAGGCTCTGAAAATAGACACCTGTTTTCCTGGGAAAGTCAAAGCCGCTAGCAGACTAACTTAGCATCTAGAAGCCCCAACAGACACTGGAACCCACAGAGGCAGGTACGAGAAAATCCGGGCCACGCAGATCCCACGGGCCGCAGACACACCGGTGTCGCAGGGACTCACACCCGCCGCCCGCCGCCCGCACATGGGTCCCATTTCCAACAGGAGGAAAACGCTCTCTTCGCGTGGTGTTGTGTTTTCAGTGAATCTAGTCATGAAATTTTGCAAAACCCAGTGAGATTGATCCAAATTTCAGCTGGGAAGCCTATTATTAAAATGGATAACATCAGCCTAATGCATTCTAAGTGGTAGGTACAGGAGATGATAAATCTTGGACATCTGCATGGTATAAAAATGTTTGAGTGGATGGTTCTGTAGTCAGGGAGATTAGCTGGCTCCTGGATTGGCGTCCACAGTGCGGGAGAATAAAGACAAATGCGGTGAGATGCGTATGTGTCTCTGGGGAAGTGTTTGCCGTGATGAACGGCCTCCTTGTACCTTCACGAGCATTTACTGCTAATCCTTTAGTGCGTTTACTGTTTGGATTCCGAAGTCCCCGCAGGAGCGCGGGGGGCGGGCCGAGGAGCCGGCCACGCTCTGCTTAGCGTCCGGCTCCAGCACGGGAGACACGCGGGAGTGGAGTCCAGGCCTGGGGCAGGGCTCTCTCGGAGGGACTGCTCACTGTCCACGCTTGGGAGGGGTCCCTGAGGCCCCCCTGGCCCTCCAGGAATTCCCCTGGCGCCCGGCCCCTTCAGCACACCTGTCCGGGGTGTGTGGCAGCCTCTCGGCTCCTCCATCGGTGGGTCCCCTTTCCTGCAGGGGAAACCCTGAAGTCTGACTTCCTTGGGAGATGCTGCTCCCTCCCCTTGAATAGATTTTGTTTCCTCCAGGTCCCTGTCATTACCGTAAATGTGAATAGCATTGCAGGTGATGATGTCTGTTTGGAAATGAAAAGGGAGATTGTGGGAGAGTCTCACCTCTGCAGGTAACCTGTGTGGGTGTGTGTTTGTGTGTTTGTATACATGTCAATGTGTGTGTCATTTATGTGTGTGCATGCCTGAGTGTATGCATGCCTGTGTGTATGCATGCCTGAGTGTATGCATGCCTGTGTGTGTATGCATGCCTGTGTGTATGCATGTCTGTGTGTATGCGTGCCTGTGTGTATGCCTGTCTGCGTGCATGCATGCCTGTGTGTATGCATGCCTGTGTGTGTATGCATGCCTGTGTGTATGCATGTCTGTGTGTATGCATGTCTGTGTGTATGCGTGCCTGTGTGTATGCCTGTCTGTGTGTATGCATGTCTGTGTGTGTCATCTGTGTGTGTGCATGCCTGTGTGTATGCCTGTCTGTGTGTGTCATCTGTGTGTGTGCATGCCTGTGTGTATGCCTGTCTGTGTGTATGCCTGTGTGTATGCCTGTCTGTGTGTATTCATGCCTGTGTGTATGCCTGTCTGCGTGCGTGCATGCCTGTGTATATGCATGCCTGTGTGTGTATGCCTGTCTATGTGTATGCGTGTCTGTGTGTATGCCTGTCTGCGTGCATGCATGCCTGTGTGTATGCATGCCTGTGTGTATGCATGCCTGTGTGTGTATGCATGCCTGTGTGTATGCATGTCTGTGTGTATGCGTGTCTGTGTGTATGCGTGCCTGTGTGTATGCATGTCTGTGTGTATGCATGTCTGTGTGTGTCATCTGTGTGTGTGCATGCCTGTGTGTATGCCTGTCTGTGTGTGTCATCTGTGTGTGTGCATGCCTGTGTGTATGCCTGTCTGTGTGTATGCCTGTGTGTATGCCTGTCTGTGTGTATGCCTGTGTGTATGCCTGTCTGTGTGTATGCCTGTGTGTATGCCTGTCTGTGTGTATTCATGCCTGTGTGTATGCCTGTCTGCGTGTGTGCATGCCTGTGTATATGCATGCCTGTGTGTGTATGCCTGTCTATGTGTATGCGTGTCTGTGTGTATGCCTGTCTGCGTGCATGCATGCCTGTGTGTATGCATGCCTGTGTATATGCATGCCTGTGTGTGTATGCATGCCTGTGTGTATGCATGTCTGTGTGTATGCGTGTCTGTGTGTATGCGTGCCTGTGTGTATGCCTGTCTGTGTGTATGCATGTCTGTGTGTGTCATCTGTGTGTGTGCATGCCTGTGTGTATGCCTGTCTGTGTGTGTCATCTGTGTGTGTGCATGCCTGTGTGTATGCCTGTCTGTGTGTATGCCTGTGTGTATGCCTGTCTGTGTGTATTCATGCCTGTGTGTATGCCTGTCTGCGTGCGTGCATGCCTGTGTATATGCATGCCTGTGTGTGTATGCCTGTCTATGTGTATGCGTGTCTGTGTGTATGCCTGTCTGCGTGCATGCATGCCTGTGTGTATGCATGCCTGTGTGTGTATGCCTGTCAGAGTGTATGCATGTCTGTGTGTATGCATGCCTGTGTGTATGCCTGTCTGTGTGTATGCATGCCTCTGTGTATGCCTGTCTGTGTGTATGCATGTCTGTGTGTCTGCATGCCTGTGTGTATGCCTGTCTGTGTGTATGCATGCCTGTGTGTATGCATGCCTGTGTGTATGCCTGTCTGTGTGTATGCATGCCTGTGTGTATGCCTGTCTGTGTGTATGCATTCCTGTGTGTATGCCTGTCTGTGCGTATGCACGTCTGTGTGTGTGCACGTCTGTGTGTGTCATCAGTGTGTGTATACCTGTGTGTGTGCATGCGTACAGCTATTTGACAACCACTCGTGGGGTTAAAGCGACCTTGTCAGGAGCAGCCCTGGGAGGCCTCTCTTTTCCCACTGGCCTGACACCCCCTCTTTGCCGAAAGACACAGAGAGCAGCCAATCTGGCAGAGGAGACCCAGCGAGAGGCCACCTGGGAAGCCTCTTTGCCCCTCGCTGCCCTGATCCTGGGACCACAGAGGGTCAGGTGGGCTGTCTCTCCCAGAGGCCCTCTGCCAAGAGACAGGACGGGGCTGGGAAGTGCCCCTCCCCCAGGCAGCACCAGCCTGAGCCTGACCGGACCAGATAAACCAGGAAATACAAGCAGCACGACAAAGGCTGAAAATTGAACCGTCCCTGGAGCCCAGCACACTGGAACCCACATAACAAACATCGGCAGGGTGGCCGCCTGGTGGACAGAGAATTAGACCGGACCCAGAGCCTCCCCGCATCATCGACAACGTGCCCAGGGCACCATGCGTAGGACCCCATTCCGGGAACCAGGAGAGTCCAGCGGCGCGGGGACGAATCAGCCTTCCCCGGCACCGACGAGTCAGACGGGAGTCAGCCCACAACGACGCTCAAATCAGGCAGCATCGTAAAAAAGCGTCGACACAAAACTGCTGTCGCAGAAGCTCTTCCAGAGGAAACC